ACACCCAGACCGATACAAACAATCATACTCATATATTCTAATATATAAAATTATCGAGTCGCGGTGTTCAGTTATTCTCTGGTTTTTTATATATAACTATAAACTGGAACATAACCGTAGCTTGATAACGTTGATCTATTGTTATAAAAAAAATGTGTTCGTCACACTTGTCACAACAAAAAAAAAATTAATCTCAGGACAATTCACACAGCGCCATCTAGTCCCAAGTTAAGCTAGCTAAAACTTGTGTACTAGATAACTGATACAAGTACATAGGATGAGATCTAAATGTACATAGATATTATTTTTTTCTTCTTAGTAAATACATACATATTATACATAGAAAATTTTAATATTAGTAGTAACTAGCAATCGAAAGTAATAATTGGTATATGAGAACACCCAGATCGATATAAATAATCATACTCGTGTTATCTTTTGTAAGATACTATATATCATAATATTAAACTCGTATCATTTCACATTTATTTTTTGAATTATTATATAATTATTATATAGTGTAAAACAAAGTCGCCGTCGCTGTCTGTCCCTATGTATGATTAAATCTTTAAAACTACGCAACGGATTTTGAAGCGGTTTTTTTTAATAGATAGTGATTCAAGAGGAAGGTCGTACATAGGGACGGACAGACAGCGACAGTGACGGGTGAAACCGCGGGCGCAGCTAGTAACAAAATAAATGAATTTCAAAGAATACAAATAAACATAAAAGGTTGTTTGTCTGTCGTAATGTTGTTACTCATACATGGCGATATGAGTTCTTCCATTATTACAATTGGTATGACGTAGGTGCTACGTCACGGGGAGGAGGGTGAACCGAGTGGCACACCCTTATAATATAACCTCGTTTATAGTACACACAATCGAGTGAAGAAGTACATAAAAAATAGTACTTAGATGACCAAACTGGGGACGCAAAATAATTTTGATGATTATTTTCTAATTGCGTTAGAAATATTTTGATTTTATCAAAATAAGCACTTTTGAATAATCACAATTTCCCCCATGCAATTCAAAATGCGACGAGTTGAGCCGAAGTTCGAAACCACAGTGGTGCCCTCAAACTACAGTCGTATCCGTCATACGGAACTTGACCTCCGCTCCATAAGTCGTTTGGAGTGCCATCTGCACTCGCCTCCTATCATCCGGTGAAGCTGTAAAAGCCAGCGGCCAACAGCATTAGAGTAGCCCGAAAAAAAACTTATTTTCTTAATCTACCGCCCATACAAAAAACTGTCGCATCACAAAAAGAACGGTCAAGAAATTTGAGTGTTGCTCTTTTAATTGTTGTAACTAATTTATTAAAAATCATATAGTAAAATTGTGTATATTTCCCTAAAGGGTTCACAGCATAGTATAGTAACAATAAGTAGTCAAAAGTGACAAACATACTCACAAACTTTCGTGTTTATAATATTAATTAAAAATAAGATGTGTTATTCTGATGTATATAAGCTATATTACTGTAAAGTTACATCAAAATCTGTTTAGTAGTTTTTGCGTGAAAGGGTAACAAACAGTCATTTATACTCACAAACTTACTTTTTATAATATTAGTAAGTTTGTACAAAAAATTCTAGTAGTTTCGTATGGAAAGGGGTCAGGAACAAGCAGTCTTAATTATAATTTTGTTATTCTAAATTGGTTATTATTGTTTAGGTATTAAGATTTTGTTTACTGTGATCATGTTTTTCAAGTCTAGATATAACATTTTGTGGTTATGGTCGTAATGATGTATTGTAACAGTCATTTTGTTGTGCGTTTGATAAAAAAAACACTCTATAAGTTATAGTCAAAATTATTTACTCAAATCTTTGGGACTTTAAGACTTATAGAAGATAGATAAAAAATATTTCACCGCCTCGGTGGTACAGCGGCACATAAGCATAAGCACATAGCCTTACTTCCGACGGTCGCGGGTTCGATTCCTTACACGGCACAAATATTTGTATTATTGAGTATAACTGTTTGTATCAGCCTGGGTGTTCTCTATGTATATTATGTATGTATTTAAAAAAATGTGTACAATTATATGTATCGCCCTAAATGTTTTCTATGTAGTATGTATATATGTCTAAATTTATCTATTTCTATATAATAATATCTGTTTTTGTAGAAGCTATACCACAACTCTGCTGAGCTTGGGACTAGATGGCGCTGTGTGAATTCTCCTAAGATATTATGAATTACTGAATAAAGATTTTGTTAACTAACTATGGGCCCCATCAACAAGCTCAGAGTCACTCAGAGGGCAATGGAGAGGGCTATGCTCGGAGTTTCTCTGCGTGATCGAATCAGATATGAGGAGATCCGCAGAAGAACCAGAGTGACCGACATAGCCCGAAGAATTGCGACTCTGAAGTGGCAATGGGCAGGGCACATAGCTCGAAGGACAGATGGCCGTTGGGGCAGTAAAGTCCTCGAGTGGCGACCACGGACCGCAAGACGCAGCGTGGGAAGGCCTCCAGCAAGGTGGACCGACGATCTGGTCAAGATCGCTGGAAGGCATTGGATGCGAGCAGCGCAGGACCGATCGTCGTGGAGATCTTTGGGGGAGGCCTATGTCCAGCAGTGGACGTCTTCCGGGCTGCGATGATGAAAGATTTTGTTCCCGTAATTATAAACTACTAACTACTCGCCCCGGCATCGCATGGGTGTACATGTATTATACATATAAACCTTCCGTTTGAATCACTCTATCTATTACTGAAAACTGCATTAAATTCTGGAGCGTAGTTTAAAAGATCTAAGCAAACACAGCAGAAGCGACTTTATTTTATGACGACCTCGGTGGTGTAGCGGTCTAGCACACCGCTTTAGGTCCGATGGTCGCGGGTTCGATTCCTCGCACGGCACAAACATTTGTATTCATGAGTATGATTGTTTGTATCGGTCTGGTCGAAAAATAAAATATCTATGTATTTGTATCAGTTGTCTAGTTGTCTAGTACCCATAACACAAGCTTTAGCTAGCTTAACTTGGGTCTAGATGGCGCTGTGTGAATTGTCCTGAGATTATTATTATTATTTATACTATACTATCTACTCGCCCTGGCTCCGCACGGATGTACTTACATGTATTATATATATAAACCTGCCTCTTGAATCACTCTATCTATTAAGTAAAAAAAAACCGCTTCAAAATCCGTTGCGTAGTTTTAAAGATTTAAGCATACATAGGGACGGACAGACAGCGACAGCGACTTTGTTTTATACAATGTAATGATAAAGATTAGCACTATTCCAATATTAGCCGTTTAAAAAACGCAATAATTAAATTACAAGAAAACAACTTACAAAGAGAAAATGCAATAGAGCTATGTATTCATCCTAGACTATGGTTGACACATTATTGAAAAAATTAAACTTTATTAAAAATATATAATTAAAAACAAACCACATTTATTAAAAATATATTTACACTACTTATCTCGTATATATATATATATAGTCTAGCGGTCTAGCACACCGCTTTACATCCGATGGTCGCGGGGTCGATTCCTCGCACGGCACAAACATTTGTATTCATGAGTATGATTGTTTGTAACGGTCTGGGTGTTTTCTATGTATAATGTATGTATTTACGAAAAAAAATATCTATGTACTTGTATCAGTTATCTAGTACACAAGTTTTAGCTAGCTTAACTTGGGACTAGATGGCGCTGTGTGAATTGTCCTGAGATTATTTTTTTTTTTTGTTGTGACAAGTGTGACGAACACATTTTTTTTATAACAATAGGTCAACATTATCAAGCTACGGATATGTTCCAGTTTATAGTTAATATAAAAAAAACAGAATAACTGAACACCGCGACTTGAGAATTTTATATATTAAAATATATGTATGTACAGTTGATATATGGTACGGGTGGTAACCCTATCGTAGACGCAAACTCAACAAGTGTCAGCGACGGGCCGGGCCGTTTATCGAAGCGATGTACCACAGTTTTTTTCTATTAATACACCCAGTTATCACATAGTGGTCACACGAACGGCTATCGCCACATAATTTATTAGCAATAAAAAAATACGCAACAACATTTACTAAGAACATCTCTTCAATAAGACAATAAATTCATCTTTTTTTTTTCATTTTCTTCAAATTCAATTTCTTTATTTTTGAGGTACAAGTTATAAAGATCTTAAGAGATAGATAGAAGTTTCACTATCTTCTGCATTTACACGTCCGAATATGATTGAAAATCGTCGTTATTACATCAGTTACCTGCTAAAAAAGGTCTCGTCAAAATCTGTCCAGCCATTTCAGAGATTAGCCGGAACAAACAGACAGACAGATAAAAATTGTAAAAAAAAAAATTTTGGTGTACGTACCGTATTTATATTCATATGCATGTATAAAAAAATGGTTAATTCAATATTACAATTTTATTTTTATATATTTATTGTAGGAGCCAGATCTAATATTTTTACTGAACATAGATGTATTATGTGGCGTATGTTGTAATTTTTCTTACAGAAGATCATATCTTAACGAAGATTTTACATATGAATGTGGATGGTTAAGGCAGAGGAAGACCGAAAAAGATGGATGGACTGTATGAAAGATATGGTAAGAAAGGGAGTAAATAACGAGATGACTGCGAACAGAGATGAATGGAAGAGAAAAACATTACGACGACCACAAATAAATGTGTTAAGAAAGAAGCAGATGATCTTAATATAATAACGTACAATTTGACGAGCTTAGTATATCTAAAGAGAATAACAGAAAACGATTGATAAGCATCGATGGTAACGGATAAAACTATAATTATACCTAACATAGATATATATTAATAAATAATCTTATTAAGATCATAAACACGAAAGTTTGTGAGTATATATAAATATTTGTTACTGTTACACGCAGAAACGACTGATCGGATATTGATGAAACTATAGTAATAAATCAGAATAACATATAGACTATAAATATCATGAAACCGTATACACTGCTAGTAAAAACAAAATGTCCACTCACCTCCTTGTTCCTCCATTAATTTAATTAAGACGAGAAATTAACACAAAAGTCACAACACAAATTAAAATCGTTAACTTAAAAACTAATATCACACTAAATAGTTTCAATAGGCAAGCACGAGCGATATTTCAACTGTTTATACTGACAAGTATTTAATATAAAAATGTCAATATTAAATTTTATGAATTCTCTATCCCATTTGTTGGCAATTCCCGTTAATAGTGAATTACTTAAATTTGACTCTCGAGCGATAGTTTCGCGGCATTGGTCGGAGATGCGTGTTACTCGAGCGGATAACTGGCATGTACTGTCAGTACAGACCACAGACTGGCACTTCATTCCCGATTCACAATTATTTGGCTGACACTCCGATCGATGTCTGGCCTATTCTGACTCGGCGACTAAACAATTGATTGCAACTGAGTTGTAATCCCATTAAACTATGCTATATGTTCATAAAAATCTTGACTTATTTCCAAAAAACAGCAATATTCATAATGTTAATACTAGATTTAAAGACAAACTTGCTGTCCCCAAGTATCGTTTAGAAAACGTCAATATGGTCGGTACGGTCTTTTATGGGAATAGGCATAAAAATTTACAATAAGATACCAAAGGATATATTGGATTTACCCTTAAATAAATTCAAAACATCTGTTAAATCATATTTACTGAGCAAGGCCTATCACTAAACGATTATTTGAATGACGAGCGTGCATGGCAATAGTTTTCATGTTCGGGATTTTCATTTAATGTTAGACATAGACACCTATTAATTACTTTTTTTTAATCCAGTTTATTTACAATACATAGGTATAAATACCTATGTATTGTAAATAAACTGGATTAGAAAAAAACATAAATTCAAAACTTGAGTTCATAAGCGGCCAAAATTCTTCTCAATAAATGATTTATATAATTTGAACTGGACGAGGGAAAAAAACATATAATGTAAAAACTTGACGTTCATAAGCGGCTAAAATGTCCTACATGAATAAATGATTTTTTAATTTGAATTTGAAATTTTTCACTGATGCTCCGCTCCTATTGGTCGTAGCGTAATGTTATATAGCTTAAAGACTTCCTCGACAAATGAACTATCCAACACAAAAAGAGTTTTTAATTAGAACCAGTAGTTCCTGAGATTAGCGCGTGAAATTTTATATGCATATTCAGTAGGTCTTAGAATCGGCTACTATCTATTTCTATCTATCATACCCCTAAGTGATTACGGCTGTCCACCCCTAACATTATCTATTTTTTTTTGCAAAATTTTTATTTTATGTATTTTTTACTAGGTGTTCCCGCAACTTCGTCCGCCTGGAATTTAACTTTATTTTTCTACAATAAAAGTAGCCAAAGTTACTCCTCATTACATCAGCTACCTGCCAATAAAAGTCTCGTTAAAATCGGCCGTTTCAGAGATTTGCCGGAACAAACAGACAGACAGAAAGACAAAAATTGTAAAAAATGTTATTTTGGTGTATTTATATTCATGTGGTAAAATACGGTTATTTCGGTACTATGATATATATATATATATATATATATATATATATAGAAGATATGTTATAGTTAGTTATAATAGTAATAATGTTATGTGTACTTACCTTAACAGGGTCGATAGTGATCATTTATTTATTTATTCATTTTAAAACGTACAAATATTATAAAATTGATTATACATATGGACCCCCAGGTGAACCTGTATCACGGGAGTCCACAAAAGAATTGCCAAATAATTATTAACTATTACAGATCAGTAAATCTGATCTGAAACCAGTTGCGAACGTCTTTCATTGTAATATAATGAAATGAAATAAATATTGAATATTGGGTGTCCAGCGGAACCACAACCAATAAACACTTACCGCTTGATGCAATTAACTAATTTATTCCAAATCTACAGAGCACATAAAACATATCTCAAACTGTCCGAGTTGAAACAACTACAGCAGATACATACAGAGAAAATTTTCCTCAACAAAAACAGAGGTGTTAAACGATTCTATCAATTTTTAGTTCAATATTATTATATATTGCATAACGTTATGTAATAACTAGTTGTCCCGGCAAACGTTGTTTTGCCATATAAATTAATAACGCTATAAAAAAATAGGGGTTGGTGATAGAAGGGTGAAAATTTGAGGTTGTATGTATTTTTTAATGTCACATATAAATAAAATTGGAGTGTCTGTTTGCAATATTGAAATAACCGTTTTTGACTACATGCATATGAATATAAATACGGTACATTTCACCAAAATATTTTTTTTTACAATTTTTGTCTGTCTGTCTGTTTGATCCGGCTAATTTCTGAAATGGCAGGTCCGATTTTGACGGGACTTTTATTGGCAGGTAGCTCATGTAATAAGGAGTAACTTAGGCTACTTTTATTTTAGAAAAATAAAGTTGAATTCCACGCGGACGAAGTCGCGTGTACAGCTAGTATAAAATAAAATAAAGATTAAATAGTCTTCAAAATAATTTTCATAGGAAATACAACACATACCAATTCTACGATAATGATTGTCTGCCGCTCATTTTTTTTATTTTATACTACTATGGTGGCAATCAAGCATACGGCCCATCTGATGGTAAATGGTTACCGTAGCCTATGAACGCCTAAAACACTAGGGGTATCACTTGCGCGTTGCCGACCCTTAAGAAACCTTAATATACCCTTCTTGAAAAACCCCATGCTGTAGTCTCGTGGGAAAACCTCATTTAACAGGAGCTAATCCAAAACTGTACAGCAACATCGACGGCTACGAGCGAGTACAGCTAGATCTTAAGTGCGTAGCGGTTTCTATGTTGATCGTCGCATGCCTAATCCTTGTTATTAATTAAATATAAGTAAATCAATATTTATTTAAAATAGCAACACACAAGTTTCTTGCTTATTCTTCTTGTGATGAATCTGCATTCCGAATAAGCGGTAGAATCAAAACTGACTATTCAAAAGTGCTTATATTAAGTTTAGTTGAATAAAGATTATTTCTATTTCTATTTCTTTATAAAATGACAAAGATTTTTAATATGTCACATCCGATGGAAGTGAGCTAATATTTATTGATAATTTTGATACTTCCTAAAATCACATGTCTGTTGTAACATTTCATCAATTGTCAGCATATCATAGATGTATAGAATATCATACCGGAGATATACCAAATATGGTGTTATTGTAGCGTTGTTAAATGGAAAAACAAATAAGTTTCAACACGCTAAGAAATCTATTAACAGACACCCGTCAAATATACTATATATAATATATAATAATGTACTTATCTTACTGCGGTTTTTGCCATAAACGTGAAAAATAAAACAGATGACAAAGAAAATGGGTTAACTGGCTATTGAAGTAATTTGATGGTCCCTTTTTTCGGACTACTCTAATGCTGTTGGCCGTAGCTGGCCTTTACAGCTTCACCGGACGATAGGGGCGAGTGCAGATGGCACTCCAAACCAAGGAAGGACTTATGGAGCGGCTGAAGGCCAACTCCTGCCTGACGGATACGACTTTAGTCTGAGGGCACCACTAGGGGTTCGAACCTCGGCTCAGGCCGTCGTAATTTCGATCCCCGTTTGAATTGGACGGGGGACCGATCGGAGGGGCGCCCGGGCGCGCGCAGGCGCCCGGTTTTTTTTTTAATGGATGATAATGGAATGGTGCACCCTCCGTGCAGGCGCCCGCTTGAATGCGCGATATTGTGTTTGAGGTCGTCGTCTTCGCCGGCGAGGACGGTGTCGTGTGTGTGTGTAAAAGTGTGGTCGGGGTGGAACGGTTGGGCCCGTGGGGAGGTTACCTGCCGTTATGGGGTCGTCGGGGTCAATGAGAACGTGCCTCGGGCGATGTTGTCGCGTATGTCGGATATTGCTCCTCGGTGCGTAGTCGACCGCACTGACTATAAGCGGGTTAGGGCGGGATTGGGCAGAGTCGAAGTAGCGTCGAGACGTTTCCTTCATAAACTGCTTAATGGAGAGCAGATTGAGATCGGGGTGGAGGTCTACGCTGCGAACGAACCACGGCGCACCGGTGGCTCGACGAAGAAACCTATTTTGTATAATCTGTAGTCTGTTGATTAAACAGTAGGGTATGTGGGCGAATACGGGACTAGCGTAAGTCATGATGGGACGCAAGCCTTGTATAATGTCAGCTTGTTGCGAAGCGGCATTTTACTGTGCTCCCCTTGGTCTAGCGGTTTAGCACATCGCACCGCTTTACTTGATGGTCGGGGGTTTGATTCCTCGCACGGTGCAAACATTTGTATTCATGAGTATGATTGTTGTATTCTGGGTGTATTCTATGTATATTATGTATGTATTTATAAAAATTTTAAGTATTTATATCACTTATACCCATAACATTGACTCTGCTTACCGTTGGACTAGATGGTGCTGTTTTATCATTCAGGATTATTATTATTATTATTGACATTTATTCTAGTGAATTGGCGCTATTTGTAGGGACTGGTCTGTTTTGATATCTATAACAGATTTTTTTTATTACTCAACGATTTATTTATTTATTTATTTATGTCAACTCTGATAATTCTACCAAATTTGAATTTAAAAATGAATCTGTATTATTGTAAACATCTATAACATTTATTTGAAAAGAATACGAGCTGAGTTTCTTGTCTGTTCTTCTCATCTAGAACTCATTCCGAACTGACGGTAGATTATTATAATTTTGAATTTGTAAGTATTACATTTTGTACAAAATTGTCCTTTACATCGTTTGATTTCAACGAACATTTTAATAGATATCTTAGTTTTAACTAGCTTATGCTCGCGGCTTCGCTCGCGTTAATTTATCCCTTTAGGGGTGTTATCAAAATGCTTTCTTAGGGGATGGCTACGTCATAGTAGCTTCATGCATGCAAAGTCTCAGCCCGACTGGTTTAAAATTGACAAAGTTTCATATAATCTTTCATCCCCTATTTTATCCCCTGGGGTGTAGAATTAATCAAAATCCTTTCTTAGCGGATGTCTACGTCATAACATCTACCTGCATGCCAAATTTCAGCCCGATCCGTCCTGTGGTTTGAGCTGTGCGTTGATAGATCACTATGTCAGTCACCTTTGAGTTATATCTTAGTTTTAATAATAGAAGAACCTCAAGTATTGGACCCGTGGTGAGTTACTAGTTATCTATACAGGAAAATATATAGAAATATAAATAATAAACTTAATATAACCACTTTTGAATAGTCATATTTTTTATTCTAACCTCATTCGGAACGCAGTCACATCACAAGAAGAATGAACAAGAAACATACACTTCGATTGTGGAATTAACTACCTGCCGAGGTTTTCTCACGAGA